AAGTAGAAAATAGACCAGAATTACCTGTCATATGATCTGTGGCACCAGAATCAATTACCCATTTGGAGGATGAGGAAAAAAGGCACGCATTTGGGTTACCTGAATCAGCAATGGTTGTGACAGAGGGAGATGAAAACTGTAGTGATTCTTGATACTGTGAGAACTTGGCAAATTCATTTGTAGAGATAAGAACCGATTTCTCCAAATGATCATTGGTGGAAGCAACATGGGCTGAGGGAGCACTCTGATTCCTATATTGAAGCTTACGACAATCACGCTTCGTATGTCCTGGCTTGTGACAGTAATAGCACACAATTCCTCCAAAACCCAGTGGTCGAGTAGCAAGTCCCTGTGGGCCTCCTCCTTTGTTCCCACTCTGAGTGGTCGATCTCCCAGGCTCATAAGTATTTTGACTGACCAACGCACCACTGAGTGGAACAGGCGTAATACCTTCAGTGCGGAGTACTCGAGTAAAGACATCATGCAGGGAGGGGATCTCAGAACCAGAAAGAACCTGAGACTTAGTAGTCTCAAAGTCAGAGGGAAGGCCAGCAAGAAAACTCATGATAACCATTTATTCTCGCTAGCGTTGCTGAACCTTCACAACATGGCTAAAAGGTAATAGCACATTAAGCTCCTCATATGTCCTCTTAAAAGCCATAAAATAGTTCATAAGAGACTGATCCTGTTTGTCTGCACGGTAAAAGGCCTTGCATACCTCATACATGCGAGAAACGTTCCCTTTACCAGAATACAAAAAGTCCAAATAATCCATCAACTCTTTAACATTCACAGTGATTGATCAAGCCAATCACCTCACTATCAATAGAATTCCGAATCTACAGGAATAAGCGAGCATCCTCTCGAAGACACAACTATGGATTTCTTCTCAGTCAAAGTCCCAAATAGAGATACAAGGCAACAAATAATACAAAAGAGACCTTTACAAATGCAAACCAGCAACAAAAGAAACCTTCACAACGGCCAATCAGCAAAGCCCAGAGAAGATAGACCCAACCTAAACCCTAGAACCACCGGAAAAGGCAGAGGGAAGCAAACCGAAGGGGACGGCCAGCCAAACGACGTCGCCGGAAGCAACTGGGGCCGGAGGCGGGCCGAAAGGAGCTATCGCGAACTGCTGTAGAGACGGGAGAGACGCGAACTGCAAGCTGCAGGAGGCGCGGTGGACGTCGGACGCCGAGGAGCTGCCGGTCGGCGGTGGTCAGGCGGTAAGAATAGGGAATTTGCAAAATAGGGTTACCAAAAATGGAACCCTAATACATCAAACCCTAATTTGTATTAAAAAAAAATTTCCCAAAAATTTTGCAACCCTAATCTCTCTGATACCATGTTAATTGATATGGGAAAATTATTGTATCTTATTAGAAACGTGAATACATGTATATATACAAGAGTTGGGAAGCTATCTTAGGAAACTAAATAAATTAGTATCCTACTCTAATTACAACTATAACACGGCTCTACTATTTTTTCTCACTTTTAGCCACTTCACTATTTTCTCTTTTGCTCTCTTGTTGTGAAAGATCAATCTAACTCTTTTTTCTCTCAATCTTTTTTCTTTCTCACTTTTCAATTTGATTTGATCTTCACACACTTGTTGTGATGACAACGGTGCAAGAATAATAGATTTTCTATTTTTAGTAAAGTTGTACCTATATTTGTACCCGTCATGAATCACTTTCCTATCATATTGTCATGGTCTCCTCAACAAAATATGCCCGACATGCATAGGAACTACATCACACATTATTTCATCGTGATACCTTAACCTCTCCACATTCATTCTACCATTGAATTTGTAAGGCCTAGAATGTTTTAGCACTGTTAATCCCAATATTTCAACAAGTGTAGTGCTTGCCACGTTGGTACAACTACTCCCATCAATAATCATACTCCATACCTTATTGTTGACGTGACATCTCGTATGAAATATGTCCTCCATTTGTTGCTCCAAGTCATCGACTTTGATTTGAGCATTAAGAGCTCGTCGTATAACCAACAGCTCCCCCACTGCATACTCCACTTTCTCAATATCGCTAGCATCTTCCAATTCCGGCGTGTCATCATATTCACCCTCACTATCACTCAACACTTTTCCATTCTCACGCAAGATCATTGCATTTTGTTTGGACATTGAGAAGCAATATGTCCCGATCCCAAGCATCTAAAACACTTAATATCCCTATTCCGAGGGGGTTGAAATTCCGCCTTGGGTGTAGCTTTGCTAGCAACTTCCTCTCTTCTCTTTGATAGCTCAGTTTTACCATTTAAAACAGCCACATCACCTTTATTGTTATCCCACTTCGATTTCCAAGAAGATTTAGCCGATGAATAGCTAGCTGTTCCCTTCCTCTTCAATTGTCTTTCCACCTTCATAGTTACATGTAGCATGTCTTCCAACTCCACATAATGTTGCAACTCTACCACATCAGCTATCTCCCTAATCAGACCATTCAAAAATCGGACCATGGTGGCCTCCCTATCCTCCTCAACATTCGCTCTAATCATAGCAATCTCCACCTCCTTGTGATAATTCTCCACACTGCGAGAATCTTAGTAGAGGGTTTGCAATTTTCTATGAAGCTCCCTATAATAATGATTAGGCACGAACCTTTTTCGCATGATAGCCTTCAATTCTTCCCATGTATTAATAGGCCTCTCATGGTTTCTCCTCCTAGATGTTGCTACTCGATCACACCAAATGATAGCATAATCGGTAAATTCAAGTACCGCAATCTTTACCTTTTTTTCCTCCGAGTAGTTGTGACAATTAAATATCAACTCTACTTTCTTTTCCCACTCCAAGTATGCTCATGATCACTCCTTCCTTTAAATAACAGAATTGTTATTTTGATATTGCCCATACTTCTATCAACACTATCTCCAACAAACTCTCTACCTCTCCTTTCATGCCTAACTACTCTATCTCTCATTCTTCTCATTTCGACATCCACCAATGCATCCTCATTAATATCACTATCCACTTCAAATTCACTAGCAAAATCTACTCTATGATCCCACCTTCTTTACATCCTTGTGTTAGGAACTTCTCTAGGTTGTTCCTTACGCAAATTAGCAAGCAATGTGTCTTGTCTCTTTATCCATCCCTCTTGCCTATCCCTTCTATCTTCTATATCACCAAACAACCTTTCAAATCATTGTATCATCTCCTCCGTCATGATGACTTGACTATTATTTCCACTTGAAGTAGAATCGTCTCTGTCGAACATCCTAAATTTAGAATAATATTTGCCTCACGTGTGTACACACATGTATCACTGAATCAAAATTTAACCCACTGAATCAAAATTTAACCATTTTGGAGTCTAAACAAAGAATTGAATAAGGAAAGTAATCTAGAATGATTCAAGAATGTAGGAATTTGAACTTTGAATGAAATGCTAAAAATAAATTCAAGAAAGTGTTTCTTAAATTCGAATTGGACACTTTTGAATTTGAATTTTTTTTTTTACTCAAAAAAAATGAAATTGTATGTTGCGGGTAGATTTCCGAATTTTCCTTTTTTTCTCTGAAATTCAACTAGACACCATAAAAAATAATAATAATAATTTTGATGCTAAATTAGCACGCAAAGAAATTTTGGAATTTTTATGGATTAGAGACGAAAAAAATTGAAGAACTCGAAGAACACGGAGAATGAAAAACAGAGACTCAAACAAAAGGAAAAAAAAAAAGATATAACCTTGATTTTTGGAGCATTGCTTTGATACCAACTGATGAGAACTCATGTAGCAATTGAAGCTACGAAACCCACACAAAATTGATTCAACTCAAGAAAGCCAAAAATTAATGCTTGAAAGCTCGACCCAATAAATTATTTAATCAAAGAATCAACACAATCGACAACAATATGTTGACCCCGTGATTACAAAACTTATGAACCTTACTTAATTTGATGAACGCCACAAGAACTTAATTCTTGATAAGGTCAGAATTAGTTCGATGAAGAACAAGAAGAAAGCAATATGCCTTTCAATTAATCTCTCAATAAATTGTGTCTTTACAATGAATGAAATGAGTCATATTTATAAATTGCATATCTTTACAATGAATGGAACTTAATACGCTTCTTGGACCAAGTTGATCCATCGTGTTTCTTCTTCCAAACCCAGCGTGAAACTTATTCATTTGCTTGTAGTAATCGATATTTCATCCACCGTAGTTTGAGCAAGTAGTCTTATTACTTCTTTGACCCGCTTCGCTTGCGACCTAGTCGTAGGCCCTTCCTCAACGATCAACGGATCATTGTCCGGACTTGTCCTCGTATCCTGGATCACATCACTAAGTCTCGGTGCCCTTAGCTTCTATGGAAGATTAATGACATGCATTGTTGGAAAATGTTGAAGATAATATTTATATAATATGCATGTGTCTTATCTAACAGCTTAAACTTTATGATCAAGTGGTTCAACAAGGTATCAGGGCACGCAAAAGATCCTAGGTTCAAGCCTTGCAACCATCCATTTATTAAAGAATTGTGCTTGTGTAAGGCTTTGATGGAAAAAGTAAATCTTGCCTACACGTGAGGGGGCAGGTTGAAGATAAGATTTATATGATATACGCATAGCTTTATCTAATAATTTAAGCTTTTATTCAACAGCTTTGATGATTGAATTTGCAGCTGGGTGTCCTTCAATGAATGCATTCTAGGCGGTCCTAACTCCTAACTGCATGAACTATCCAGAGTTTAGGATTCTACGCAAAAATTGTACGGACCTACCCCACTTAACACATGGGAAGGAAATAGTGTAGGCTGTTAAATCTTAAAGCTCAACACCAATTCTGAATTAATAGTTTTGGCAGGAGTTGTTACATTACCATGTCTTCCTTGTGGTATTATTATGAAATTACATCTGTTTGCCCTATACTTGACCATATATGATTTAGCTTATGGTATCACTTCCAAATGACATTTGTTTACTTTTGAATATCTTTTTTGTTTTATCCTACTTCTGCAGGTGGCTTTTCTGAAATTCACGGGGTATAAGATAATAAGTAACATGTCAGACACGGGGAAGGCATTTCTTATAATACTTGTGACTGATATTTTTTTAGGGTAATGCTCACTGTTCAGTTCCATGTATCTTTTAATTTACCAGTTTTTAGTACTAGAGTTTGGACTGATTGTATTCCATTTTTTATGTCGTCAGCGGTCGCCAACTTAAAGTTAATGAAATTGGTCCGTTTTCATTAAAAAATAATAAGCATTTTTTCAAAATTTGATTTTATTAATAAATATGGAAACTTTCTAATTGGTTAATACCTAAAGATTAGCAATCAATGCTTGTACAGTACTTATTGAATTGTGCAAGTATTGAGCCTGCTCTACCAACCTATAATTTTGATGTGATAGATATAGTTATTATGCCTATATTTATTCATCAAAAAATTTGAATTACTAATGGACTGTGCTTAGTACATCGCTATAGTCTCTGGACTTTAGCGTAGCTCTTTTTAATGTCATCTGCCACTCTATTGGAACTTAAATGCTCTTTTTAATTGACTCTGGGAATTAAACAATCTCTACACCTTGATGTTATAGATTTTGAGTTTGCAATAATAAGTTTATACTTTGTAGGTACCATTCTGAATCTGGTTGGCAGACTTTGTTAGAGGTTTTGGTTGAGCATTACGGGCTTCAGGTGGATCAGGCGGCTATAACAATATTTATCTGCCTAGTACCGGTTATCATTGATGCTTGTGTGAAGCTTTGGGTATGTTTTCTATCCGTATTTTTTTGGGATAAAACTTTTTCCCGAGTCCATTTCATGTGGAAGCATGCAACGTTTGGTAATTGTGCCAAATTTTATCTCAGCCTTTTGATTGAATGTGCTCTGAGTCCTTATGTCTCATTCGTTCATGGTATAGATGTATGTCACTCACTGCACAACACAATCTGCACCAATCAACAAATTTAGCAAGAGAGAACACAATACATCTCAAGTTACCTAAAAGATTTCCCATCTTTTAATTTGTAAACTTTGTGATGTTAATGTGGCGGAAGTATTAGACAACTGAACTCGTCGAATATATCGTGTAATGCGGATGCCTTGTTTCTTGCATATGGACTAGAGGACCAACATGCTGGATATGCCACTTACTTTTTGCTCTTGGACTTCCATGCAACAATTGTACTGTTAACTGTAACTTAGGTCCAACAATCTGGATTCTTCAATTTTAAATAATTTAAGGTGGTGACTATGTTCATCTAGCGATTATACCATTGGACCTTTATGAACCTTGCGCGTTGATAGTATTCAAAAAGAAATTCTAATTTATTTTTTAAACCCTGCCCACTGAGGAAAAATATTATCCAAATTCACTGAAAAGCAAGGCTAAAAGAACATTAGGAGTAATTGGTTGATCTAGAATTATGTTCCTCCCGGTTTTCATTGATGGTTGACTTCTGAAGCATATTTTTTCATGCTTCCCTTAAACCATACAGAAGGTATTAAATGAATATCAAGTCAACTTAAATTGACGAAGCTTTATCAGATACTATGTCATGCTTAAAAGTGAATATATGCAACTTAATTGGCATTATCGAATTACTATTATGGTCTTCTTTATTGATTTATTTCAGTGCTGCTATATGGGCGCAAGAGAGTCAAGATATTACTTGGTTCCATGGGAAAAAATCTGAACCGAAAATATGCAATAAGCTAGCATTTTCATGTTGTTAGCTCCTAGAAGATCTACTTTTATTGTTTTTCATTTCATTCAAACTCACTCCGGAAGTTACTACTCTTTTGTTGAGAGTGGCATCCGTTATCTAGTTTTGAATACATATCCTAATAAGCTGTCTAATGCTTGTTTTGCAGTTATTTAAGTTTCTGCCAAGATTATCCCCAAGGGTGGCAAATATTTTCCGGGAAATGAAGAGACACTAGAAAGGTTTCATATTCTTTTTCTTCTCGGTTTTTTCTCTTGCTGAGAAAGAGCCCTGCAGATGGAGTGAATATTCAGTTCCTCTATTCTTTTGAATATCTAGAAGAAATTTTGCAATTCAAATTACTCTAATAGGGGCATCTTATTTTGCCTGTTATATGAAAACATGAAACATATAATAAAACATTGTTAAAATCGCTCAGTAACTATTCATTTTTAAGTTGCAATATGAGATGAAAAATGATCAATATTGAAGTTTATTTTCTTGTACAATATCAAAGTAACCTTCTTTAGATTTTATCGAACAGTAGAACGTCTCCATATAAAATCTTTTCTTCGTTCTTGTGTTGTCTTTTTTCTCCTGGAAAGTACACACACATACATGCTTTTAAGTGCTTATAAGTTGGGGTCCCTACAATGTTCGGAATCTCCAGAAATGGAGAAATATTCATGTCGACACGGATACTGACACGGGATACGGAACAAATCCTTGGGTTTTTGCACTTGGACACGACATTAAAAGGGAGAAGACGACGGAAAACGAGGAGTTGGGGAAGGGGGAGGAGTTGCAGCAAGAAAAAAATAAGATGGGAGAAGTTGCAAAAAGAAAAAAGACGGGAGGAGTTGGGGAAGACAATTGGATTGATGTCCGCCCTAATTTAATGTGTATTGTGAACCCAATTTTTAATGTATTATATGAACCTTGTAAAAATAGAGTTAATAAAATTATAATTATTTTATTGGGATTAATTGTATGATTCAACCCATTTAATTTAATTTTTTTGTATTAATTTTTTTTTATATTTTATCTATCTCACAGAAATACATATATTACAATGAAATAAAATAATTGTTTCGTCATTTTAAAAAAATATATTCTATATATTAAAAGTGGCTATGTAACGGAATTTCTTGTTTTTAACGGAAAAACTAACGGAATTTGTTGTTTTAACGGACTATGTAACGGAATTTCTTGTTTGAAACAGGCAGCTGCACCTTC